GAGGTTCTGGTTAAAACTATGCGCAAGAGGTGACTCCAATATTACTATTTGCTGAGGGGCGCAGCCCCGAAGCAAATGGTACTTTTGGAGTCACCGAGGCCCATAGTTTAACCCAGTACCTCGAATAGAAGGCATGGTATATTTGTTTTATATCCTGCATCCAAAATTTATTTAAAAAAAAAAAAATTGGGAAAAAAAAATTTAGAACAAAAAAAATGTCAATTTTTATCTAAAAAGATTTTATTTTTATTTTTTTTTAAATTAAGATTTGAAGAAAAAAAATTGATTCAATTAAATTTTTGTTTTCTTTTTTTTTCAACTCCCAAATAGTAACCCAAAATAGTACTCTCATATAGTACTTTCTAAAAATAGGTCAAATATTTTTGGTCATGTGACGAGCTCTCAACCAATCAAAAGCCAACAAATGTTTGATGCAGGATATAATACTATATACCCACTTCGGTGCGCAGTGCACGTGATATTCATTCCATTATATCACATTATAAATAATTATTTACTACGTAATACAACTTTACCAATCATAACAATTATTTCAGGACAGTTCCTCTCACAATTTAATCGCATGGCTCGTACTCAACTTCATTTTTTATTTCATGCTTCAAATTAGTTTTGTCAGTTTACGGCGTACCTATCAAGTTTTGAAGCTCGAGACTCTGGGTATCGTCTATGTCCGGTCAGACGAAAGGCCAATTCAAAGTTAATATATTTCGTTACAAAGTGCCATGGCGAGGGGAGTCGAGGGAAGTGGACGATTCTGCGTGGGCCGAGTCTTGATACACGCTCGACATTACCCATGAAATCACCACCACGAACCCACCAGAGAGATGTCTGTTTTCTACGAAAACATTTTAAAACTTAGTCCACCGAGTCATTACGGTAAGTAGGGGAAAACCAACGGCTAAAATCGCATCAGGCTTGCCAGTTGTGTTGCAGACTAATATCGCCTTGGTTGTACTCGGCAATCCCTGACTATGAGGACCATTTAAGCAAAAGCTCCATGGTGTTGAATGAATATTTTCTGGAGTCTTTAGCAGGACTAAGTGATTCACTTGAAGAAGGTAATCGCGACGATATTTAAACTTAATGCGACGTGCCTTAACTCATCCTCATAGGTTGCTATCATTCACTTTCCCTAGAAATCTCTTCAAGCCTTTAAAGAACATTCCTATTTAGAAATGGTTTACTTTTTAACTATTTTCCTTCCATTTATGGAATGATGGTTAGGTAAAAAGTTTCTGAGGGAATCAAGGAAAGGTTAAGAGAAATAAAATTAAAGAGCTTCTCAAAGTTACGTGGTTCAATTATGGAGAGGATGCAAACATTTACAAGTAAGTTCTGAACGGTTGTTTCATAACTTTCAGAGTAAGGAACATTATTTTTGGATATCAAACAATATCAATTGTGAAAGAAGTTAAGATTAAAAACAGGGATGACAAATCAAAAAGATGAACTAATTGTTCCATGTGACCTTAAACACGGCTTCTAAAAAGAAAAGAAAAGATACAAGGCATTAGTTCCATTGCGGTATTACCTAAATTAATCACGCCTGACAACCCAGTCATCTCTCACTTTTTATATACTGCATGCAAAGATTCTAGGCCTCTGATTGGCCGACACCCAGACATGACATTAACTAATCAATGCTGGGCAATATGAAGAAAAAATATAGCCCAGGCGCACAGTGGATATTCGAATTTTACCCAAATTTTCAAATATATTTTGAACAGCATATTAACTTAATTAATTGCCTTTTTGGAGAATCCACAAACTCTCTTTAGTATGTTGAATAAATCTAGTCATCTGATTGGTCGAAATTAGAGTCGTGATTTTAACCCGCCTACCCATCGATAGTTTTTTTTTTTATAAAGATGCCAGTTGCCCCGGGTAACGGGCCGCATAAATAAATTGTGCTGAGTTCCCCATTGGTTTACGTAAAAAGTTTCTTTGTGCGAGCGCGGATACAAAATGCAGTACAATGTGGGTGCTATTCCCGAATGATTGTAACATTCAGGCAACCTTCCAGCGAAGATTTGCATACAGTGTCTCAGATTTTCTGTGATGTTTTAACCAGTCTTTACTCAAGAAAGGGATAAGGTAAGAGTTGTTTTGAGATTTGTGTGTGAATTCGGTATATAAATGATATATGGACTGCCTTTAAAAGTCAAAGCATAGCTTTTTCAATCTAACTCTCGGGGACGCTACATCCTGCTATGACCCCGAGGCGCTCCGGGGCGTCATAGCAAGATGTAACGTCCCCGAGAGCCAGTATAGAAACAGCGATGACTCTCATAGCAGTCAATATCTATAATATTATTGACTGCTGAATTTTCGGATCACGTTTTACTCCTCTGTAATCTCGAGCCTGGAAATGCCACGAGACTTTGTCTCGGGCCACAGTACAGTTTTCGAGATCACCATCGGCTATAGCTTTAACTGTGCCCCCAATGAAGTCAATATTTGTATATTATGCCGCACGAATGTGATAGATATTCCCAACCCGTAAATAATTGTTTACTGTTTCCAGTTATATACCGGTGTTAATGTTTGTCATGGTGCTAATCAACACCGGAAATGGAAAATTTTGCAAAGCCACTGCGCTAGACAAAACGATCCCTCCTTCAACTGCATGGTGCTTATTGTTTTGAGCGAAATTACATGTTTGGCAAAAAAGCGACCGTGCAGAGAGAGGTAGAAAGCAATTTATTTTGTTTAATATTAATTATCCGTTCCCAAAAGCTTTTGGCGGACAACATACCGCACTTGTCTCTGACACCCTCCTTCGTCTAATAGAGGACGCTTCGTGTGCAAGTGACCTAGATATATATACAGTGCGTCCAAGAAAAAACGAAACCGAGAATTATCGATGTTTTTATCATAACTTTGTCATAACTATAATTAACAAATGGCACAAATTTCTTTAATGTGGTGCAACTCATATGATTCATATTTACGCATGCGTGATTAATAGCAATTTAAAGAGAGGAAACCCACGAGTCATTTGGCGGATGGTATCTGAATTTCAAAGAGAAAATCACATTTCTAGAAAGTTCGTTTTCTGCTCTTTCATATGACACCTCAATCAGCAAAAATGAGCTAGGAATAAGAAAAGTCCAGTTTGTTTAAAGTACTGCTTGCTTTTCCATAATTTGATTAAACTAATTCGTTTTCACTGGCTGCCTGCCGTAGCAACAAACAGAGTTGGCAAAAGACTTAAATCCGTTGCGTTGACGATGAGCCATGCACAAAAAAAGACGAAAGACTTCATGCATGTTTTCTTCTAAAGTTGTTTTTCACGTTTCAAAATAAAGTTACCGCCTCAAGTTCATCTTAAAAATCAAGAGCGTCAAAGAAATGCATTGATTCACGGTGGAGAACCGATCACGTGGCTTCGCGTTGTTCGGGTTAACACATACATCAGCACCACCTTTAAACGGCTATAAATGAGAGAGTGCAGAAAGTCGATACCAGTTATTCCCGCGATTTCCCTTTTGAGAGCAATTTTCTTCCCAAATATCCAGCGAGCGGCATTTGCGTGGGTTCGGATAAGGCAAAGCATGGATTATATTTGGAAATATTAGCATAATAGGTGCCAGGATAGCCCTTAGCGGCGGCAATAGTCATTTCCATATCTATTAGGAAGTTCTCTATCTTTTAAAGGAAGTTACAATGCGTGTTTGATGTTATGACGGGAAACGAAATATCAATCAATATTTACGTTTTTCACAATGCAAGCATAATACACGTATTCACTCTCTCTCTCTCTCTCTCCTCTTCGCCCTCCCTTCTCCCCTCCCTTCCGCCCCTCTCCTCCCTCTCTCTCTCTCTCCCTCTCTTGCAAGTCAATCTTAAGTATGCTGCATTAATATTCTAGGTGGCGGGAACGAGCATTCTGATATGTTTCCAAATAAGTGCTCTCTTGAGAACGCTACCCATGATAATGGCCTAAAATTTTGTCTAAAATAGCTTTAGTTCAGGTTCGATGGTTCAAGAAAGGACCCTCTGTTAGCCATTCTAAAAAAAAGAAAATAAATCATGATTTCGTTAGAAAACATGAGCTTCATGCCGTGAACATGAACTTGAGCCCGTAAGGTTCACTTCAAATATGAGATGATGTGTATTTTGTTTGCCTTGTTGCTGTCAACCTCTTGGTGTATTCCACGTTACATGCTGACGCATGAATGGGGGTGAGTATAATAAGACCTAGCACTTAAAAGTTTTAATACCGTACAAAATCCTCAGTATAATTATTTCACACGTTAAATAAACACGCCACACTGTCATTGAAAAAGAACGCACATGGAATCAAAAAAAAATATTTTGTCCAGGTACCATTCACTCCCCCTGGCTCGAGCATTATAGTGTGACAAAGTAATGTCTTGCAAAGGTGATTGGTGCCATGGCAGGGGATCTACCTCGTATATTGTGATTCTTCTTATCCTCTAAATTTCAATGTATCAAATGAACAACCACAAGAAGGGCCGCATGTATCTCTTAATTCGATAATGATAATGCATCGACCTACAATCTTTTCAGAGGACAACAAATTAACTTTACCTGATTTTTTTAAAAAATATAGGCAAACATGTCAAATACAGAAGACCTTCGACAGTAACTACAACTACAGACCGTTATAAATATACGTGGACATTAATAGTTAACTCGCCTAACAGTGCCTAAAGTACACAGTAGGACTTGCGCTTGCAAAATAATAATAGTTCCAAAATAAAATATACACCAGTTGAAAAGGATGTGATGAATAATCCTTATAATAACTGACGTTTCTTCTTGCAAGTCTAGCGAACACATTGAATATGTGTACTTGCCGCCGAATCAATGAAAGCTCAAAGTGCAATATGGAAAATTTCGGTCAAGGGTCTCTGAATTCAGTTCCACGTGAATCTGTATGGAACATTATCTTTTGTAATACACCCGAGATAATTGTTCGCATTAAAAGTACGTAACTATTGTATCCGGCACACCTTATGACCCCGACATGTCGGAACTGCTTCCGTCTTTCACCATTGGGTTGGCGTGTACTAGTAAGTGTGTATTCATTACTGTTAGTGTGGATCAGAAGGGTGTGGCATTAGGACGCAGATACGTGTTCGCCTTGAAGAGCAACTAGTGCCGTACCAGAAACGATGGATACAAAAATGGCCGATCATGATGGCGACCGTGTTCGAATCATCTTGTGGTATGTCCCTAGGACAGTGTCCATTGCCTTTATCAAATGTTTAAGCGCCATCGAAGGCATGGAGGTGTGGTGCGAGGCGTTCTCCTACGCCGGAATGGCCAGGCGGCAGTACCTGGACACGTATGGCAAGGATATTCCTATGGAGTACAAGGGTAACGAGGAAGAGGCCCATAAGGGGGCGAAACTCTTCGAGCGCATCGTGAGATCGAAGATAGAGCCGGACCGGATTGTGTAAGTGGGACGAAGACTCTCTAGTCTAAATCGTTACTTTGATATTAAAGGTAAAGACCAGTTATGGTCATGCGATTGCATTGTGAAAGAAACGTTGTGGAATCGATCAGAAAAGGTTGATCATCTAGCATCTAGCATCTGCAAGGTTCTGGAATCATCAAAATGATAAGAAATTTGGCACATTCTTCGTAAAGTTACAAGCACTATACGCAGAAAGATGTATATGGGACTACCCTATATCTCTCACAGACCATGAGAGAAACAAATTTACCAAATATATGAATTAGTAGGCGGTTTCCCGGCAAATTTTTTATCATCATGTATTAGTCAAAACATATTCTTTCACATGATTGGTAATGAGAGCTTCCATTTCATTTTTGAAATTGGGGCGTTTCCAATACTGGTCTTTACCTTTAAGGGTTTGAGCTGCTTTGTCCGTTGCTGGTTGGGAGGTCGATTCGACAGAATGGGTGTCTGTCGAAATTTGTTTTATGTAATGTCAAATAGTTTTACTTAGGTGTAGTTATAGGTGCATTGGTTAACTTTCCCATAAATATTTTTTGTCATTTGCTTTATCTACTTTGTTATTTATTGTTGTATTAATGCTGTTTATATATTTAAATTTTTCATGATTTTAAAGCGCACAGAGAAATGTTCAATTTATTATACACTTCATAAATATTCTCTATTATTATTATTATCAAAATGCTCATGAAACTTTTCCTGCTCATTATCTTTCTAATAGAACTGTTTACACACATGTCTAGTGCAGTTCATCGTGCTTTCCATATAAACGAAATAGTCAATTCGTTTATAAATTCAGAAAGTGACCGTTTTTTCTTATTCAATTTAAACCCTAAAATAATGTGTTCCTCGTGCTGTACCTGTGAAAAATAACTGCAAAATACGATCTAGCATTTTTTTTAAAATTCAACTTTCAAGTTTTGGGCATTTGTTCTTATGTCATTTAGATATCATGTCCAAATTAGTGGTATATAACGAGCTTTGAAGCTATATGATGATGATGATTATGGTCGTAACTTGCTTTGCGCGCGTCTAATATTGGACCTCTGACTGTGTCGCGCCTTTTTTGCGCTAATTTTAGACTATGGGTTATGCAAATGAAGATTTTAACCGTGGGTTAAATTTAAACATCCTTTGTGAATTCGGGCCTATGTATTTCCATCAGTAGAACTGGGAACATACTTTCAAATAATTGATACCGTATGGATGACAGAATTTTGCCTATATACATGTGAATCGCAAATCATATTTGCACATATCAGACCAGCATCATTCCACATTTTCCTTATGCGAATACTATCAACTACATTGTCTGCCCAAATCATTGAGCTAAAGTCATATAGGCCTATGTGTAGTTCATAACAATCAGTGTATGGGATTTGTTTAATTCTTGTAAGAATTTCCGTTGTCACTAGAATCTCTAAGGATGCATTACTTTCAAGAGTACATGTATTTATCCGACAAAGTACTTTTCTCGCACTTAATTTATTCATTTATTTATTACTTATTTAGTTATTTATTTGTTCCTTTATTAAAATTCCTGTCCTATTTAGGTATGGCAACCTGAAAGAAAGATTCGAGGCATCCACTAGCAAATACGTCATCTCGAAGGAAATGTTCATCGCCTTTCCTGATGAGAAGGCCAGGCGGTACCTGCCATCGGGATGTAGACATGTTTTTCTTATCCGCAATCCGTATCGGGTCTTCAGTTCCTACCGAAGGGCCATCTACGAACAGCTCAAGAGCGTAGGTCTTCGGTCCGGAGATCCTCATGATAGGGAATCATTCGACCTCCGCAAGGACGATCCGTCCATCGATCCGAACACGATGTTCGTCGGGCTCCACGAAGTTTGGAAATATATCCGCGAGAAAGTAGACTCTAACGCCATCGTCATCAACACCGATGACCTCCTGACCAACCCTGCTGATGTGCTGTCCAAGTTCTGCCATGAAACGGGTCTACCGTTCTCAGAATCGCTTCTTCAGTGGGATGCTTCTCCAGACGTGGTCAAGACATGGAAAGCAGCAGGGAACGATGTTATCATGAGCGCCAAGGCTTTCTACCAGACAGCGATCCATTCCAGCAGGTTTCTACCGCCGAGACCCGACGTACCTCGGGAAACGCTGTCTCCAGATGTCAGGCAGCTAGCTGAGGACGCAATGACTTACTTTCAAGAAATGGACCGTTTTAAGATTTGAAGGGCCTGCAACATTATGATCTGTTATGCTAGGTTTACCTCTTCAAAACCGGGATTTAGACATTAATGAAAAGTACACTGTAAGATTAATTCATATTAAGTAGTTCTTAACCTCAATGCTTTCAATACATGACCTAGATGACCACTAAGGTCACGTAGGCAACTGCTGTAGGTTTTCTAAAACACTTATGAATTTAGTACGATGAATATATGTGTGGTTTTAAAGGGTTAATATTGTACAGGAACAGTTAAGGTAGAGGGATCTTTTAGTAGATATGATTCAGCGTTACATCGCCCTTAATTAAGTTCTTCATTGTAATTGAAATGGCTTTGGTAATGTGATTTTATAACTGGAGTATACATCCGTATGTATAACTGTTGATTCTTTTGATGGAATAGTAAATGAATACATCGGTTTCACAATTTTCATACAAGGTTTTCGTTTCTCACTGTTTGCTTTGCTAAGATCCCACATTTAATCTTTCGACACCGTATGGCAACATTTTTAGATATAAACACTTGCCCTTTTGGTCCCGGGGTGCATCAAATATGGTATACATAAGTTAAATTTCATTGTTCACAATTTAAAAAGGCTGTTTTACCTATGAGACGTTCCCCCACTTGTTACTGCAGGCATCATCAGACTGCAGCAACGATTAGCCGAAAGTCTCGCATGTAAGACAACCTTTTTGATTGCGAACCAATGACAATTCAATTCATGGAATTACTACCAATAACATGGACCTTATCAAGAATTGGTATACATTCAATTTTTTTTTTTTTTTTTTTTTTTTTTTTTTTTTTTTTTTTTTTTTTTTTTTTTTTTACTTCTACCTGAAATTCTAGATTAAAAGGCAGCATACATATGACCTTTGTACTGTGCATTTCATGCCGGATTCCATGCATATTTGTGATTTTCACGAGGATTTAGTTTCTAAACATGATGACTTTTACCTCATGATAATTATGCATTATATTTATCAGCAAGATTTTTCCCATTCACTTCATAATCTACATTAAAAGTCTCCCTGAGAGCTCCTATCAAATGATTACAATAAAAATGTATGAGGAGCTCTCGATATCATCTTTAACGTCTTCATTTAAATCTGCAATTGAATTTGTATGGGAACCGGAAGTGCCCTTGCCACATTTATCCATGGCCGGTGCTGCCCTCTGGTCGAATACCGTAGTTTCGGTAGCGAGAATTATTAATATTTTTATATGTGTATGAAGTATGTGAAATAAAAAGAAAGGTCGTACGGCACACATTGCACGTAATCGCCCTAATCGACCTTTCAAAAAGAACTTCTCAAAACTTTCTTTCGCTTTGAAATTCTGTCAAGAGTACACTACTCCGCATCATCTCTAACGTTGTCATTTAGACATATCTTCTGGAGGGTCATTCACATATGACACGTTTAACCGCCACAAAAAGTCGCCGCGTGTGTGTGCGTGTGTGTAAATTAATGGCAACTTTGCTTTACAAGGATCCTATGCTTTTCACTCTCTGTCTTATAAGATACAGAAGTGTGCTGTGTTTTTACATTTTTATTCATCATTGAAGAAGAAAAAAATCAAGATGAACACAAAAATGAAAGGCAACTTTGCGTTACAAGGGTCCTATGCTTTTCATTCTCTGTCTTATACGATACAGAAGTGTGTCGTGTTTTTAATTTCTATTCATCATTTGATAAAACAAAATCATGATTGAAAAAACCACAAAAGAACACTCGGTTTACCACTTCGTATGTGAACGGGCCTATTAAACGTGGTACGCGACAGTCGAGATTATTAGGCCCATCTGCAAATGAGTGATCTTCCAGCATCCATTGTGACGTCGCTTGCATGGTAATCGGTGCATCATCCGAAGGAAGAGTTAGTTGAAGGTGGTGCGTGCGCCGGAACGGGTGTGAAAGCTAATTTGCTTGTAAATGTCACGGCCTTACACAAGCCCGATTTCCCAATGGCCGGGAAAAAAGAGACACATTTCTGCTTTTAATTATTATTTAGAAAATCCCTGGTGTGTGTTAATGAAGTGTATTTATAGCAGGAAGTCATTGTGTTCGTTACATTAAACATAATAACCGAGGTAAGAAAAGCTGCCCACTTCGAGATGACTTCTAATCACATCAAATGCCAATACTGTTTGTTTATTCATAATTTCATTTTTGAGGGACATATATCTTGTGGGCTGTAAATTACCTGTCACAATTTCTGCCATATTAATGCTCGTCACCGTGATCAATACAATACATGTAGCTTAATACAAAAAAAACATAAGTACACTGTCGCTCATAAAGGTGGAATATTTTTGTTTTATCCCAATTTATGGAATTATTTTAAGAATAATTTAAAAATAATAGATCTAGATGATAGTATACATTCTCAGATTTTATTGAATAATAATAATTTGCCAATGTGTGTTTTGCGTGACTGCTAAAGCATGTGTATGCTACTATGCTTATCAACTAGGGGACCTATGCCCTTAAGTCATAAATGACAGTGATGAGGAATAATGCCCCCAAAAGGGCACTAATATATAGCACATCGACACGGTTTTGATTCTGGGGCCTCACAGTAACGAGGCCATTGTTTTGTCACTGAACCATGAGAGGATTTTTTTAAGTTGGGGACTGGGGTAAAATGCAATAAATTATTGAAAATTTATTGCATTTTCTGTTTTTTTTTTAATTTATGGAAACTGCCCCCTACCCTAGCCCCCGCTTCGTACAGTCATGGTTCAGTGACAAAACAATGGCCGCGTTACTGTGAGGCCCCAGGATCAAAACCGTGTCGATGTGCTATATTAGTGCCCTTTTTGGGGCATTAATCCTCATTACTGTCATTTATGACTTGAGAGCGTAGGTCCCCTATTTAATAAGCATATTAGCATACACATGCTTTATCAGTCCCGCAAAACACACATTGGCCAATTGTTATTCAATGAAATCTGAGAATGTATTCTATTATCTAGATCTATTATGTTTAAATAATTTTTAAAATAATTCTATAAATTGGGGTAAAACTAAAATATTCCACCTTTACGAGCGACAGTGTACATAATCATATGCACACACTAATACTGTAATTATCGGCAAAAATGATTGGGTTACATATTAAGTCAGCACTTCGTAGATCAGACAGCGTGTTCTACAAATCCGAAGTAATCAAAAAGGGATAACGTGATTGGCAGTCACAAGCCTGATACGTGTATTACAGTATTTAAAAGTTTCAGAATCTCGGTCATATAATTACGATCTTAACAAGTATGAATGAAAATAGATAACGGATCCATTATCAATATCGGTAGTTTTGACGTCTTTGTAAAACATGACATCAGTGATCAATAGTTTCGTCATCAGTTGGTCAATGGAAAATCCAACAGCGTTAATTAGTTAAGTGATTCCTAGATAGGGATCCAGGGCCAGCTTAATCACGAACCGCTAAGTGTGGGGATTCGGTAATGTTGCTAAAAATAGCAACACGGTTGTGTTGCGGAAATTTGAATTGTGCCAGAAGTTATTCTACAACAGACAATAATTAAATTTCAATTTATAAATAAGACAAAAAACAACAACCAGAACAAACACAATCAACAACACAACATGTGTGATCAGGGTACATGACATGGAGATATCTCGGAAAATAAACATGGAAAATACTGTCTCTATAGCCAGGTGGTCTTTCTATACAGGTGGTCACTATAACAGGTTTCAATGTATCCGTCAAACCGCAAGATATTTCCATTAAGAGCTAAATGAATCATCCATGATTAAACATTGTGCAATATCATTATTCCTCTGCCACTATTTCATAGTTTTAATCTAATAAAAATCAAATAACTTGAAAGAGAGATTATAAATTCATATTCCATGTAAACACATATACTTTAAAACACGGATATTGCACATTCTTTATTGAGGACCTGGATGAACAAAGTGTACTTTTTAAACGAAAATAGTTTCCTCAGATATATTCTATATGTTATTCATATATAGCCTATATACATTGATTGCCAAATCACGTTTTTGATATTATTTCCACATTACTTAAACAAATAAAGAGACCCTCTCTTCCATCCGAGCTGGAGGTACCCTCCATATTCGCCGAAAGTGGGCGAAATTTGATTGATAAAACTGTGCTGTAGTTCGTACATACTTGAAGAAAAAACCCATCTTGCATGATACAACTGGCTCAATTGGAAAAGTTGCAGTTTCACATGCTCAAGGTGGTAGACATGAGTTTAAAGAGAAAGTCGAGTTCTGGAAAAGTTCAACAAACAATGCTGTGGGCTTTTTCCATTCATAAGAAGAATGTCATAGGAAAATAATCCCCTAAAGATAATGGCTCTTTAAATGCCACCATATTCGAAATTTAAGATGAAATAGCTGAGTTTTGTGGACTACACTTTCATGCCAAATGATTGTGTGCTTCCTTTTAAACATGTATGTGTAAAGTGTGTGCGACGTTTAGCAAGACTGCGCCGGTTTCTTATAATAAGGGAGTTTACAGATAGCACATGGTACAAATGACCCCAAATATCCACAGATCTTTTACACATGGAGCAGTTCCACTTTGAGCATCTTAGAATACTAACTGCCAAAGTCCTAGATGTGCTTCATGAATACCTTTTGTTTGCCCTCTTGAAAAGAATACTTCCACCTGCGTATATTAGAATGTACCATTGGTGCATAAATGAATAATGTTACATAACTTTCATGAGCGCATATCCAGTATTCATCTCTGGTGGGTTTTACCTTTTTGGTACAAATGACCTTTATCTGCCCATGCGCAGATTTTTTCTATGAACTGGCTTATTTTAATGACTGCACAACCTTACAGTATACACAAATGCTGCTGCTGCAGTGCTACATGATTGACCTTCTCTGATCGCTTTCAGATAGTTTCTTTCACAATGAAATCGCATGACAACAACGTATCTCTTTCTTTAAAGGCACACTGTCCTACGTATAGCTACTTGCTCCCTCTATATAGACAACT